GAGGAAACTCGTCTCAGCCTCTTGGACGGGGTCAGGTCCCCAGCAACCTTCCGCCTCATCCTCCACCCCCGATCCCACATACATTCCCTCCTGTTGATCATGCAGAAGGCGAAGACGAACATCAACCACACAATTCGGCTCATAACTCAGCCTCCACCGCTAACCAAGACGTGGTTGCAACTCAGCTTGCTGCCATGCAACAGCAGTTTGGGGTCTTTCAGCAAGTGCTAGCTCAGTTGTTAGCCCGGAACAATCCTGGTGATCCACTCATCAATCTACTTAACCCTGCTCCACCACCAAATCCTGAACCAGTTCAACATGCTCCCGCTGTTAGTGAATCTCAGGGCCAATCTCACATGGCACCAGTTCAACAACCTCCTCATGATGATGTTACTCGACGTTTAGATAGCTTAGAGAGGCTAGTGGTCGAACAGCGGGGTGTCCCACCTCCATACCCTGCTGTTGACTCCATACCACACCCTCTCAACACCAATATTGTGCTGGAGCCTTATCCCACTGGCTTCAGAATACCACAACTTGAAACTTACGATGGGACGAAGGACCCCGACGACCATCTACATGCTTTCTACTCTTGCATGCAGGCCCAGAACGCCTCTGATGCGTTAATGTGCAAAATCTTCCCCTCGACCCTCCGAGGTAATGCTCGAACCTGGTACTACAGTCTGCCTCCGAGGTCAATTAACTCTTACACAGAACTGGCATCTGCTTTTGCCACAAAGTTTTCCAGTAGAAGATTGATCAGGAAAACCACTTCCGAATTGATGCGGGTTAAGCAGAAGGATGGGGAGTCTTTGAAGAATTTTATGAGCAGGTTCAATGATGCTGTGCTGGAGGTTAACTCTTTCGACCAAGCTGTGGGGATTACAGCTGTGATCTCAGGTCTCGGCCATGAAAGATTCAGAGATAGTTTGATTAAGCATCCGGCCACCACCTTCAGTGAGGTAAATGATAGATCATTGGAATTCATAACTGCTGAGGAATATGCCCTGTCGCAGAACCTCACCCCTGTTAAGAATCAACACCCGGACTGGAGAGATGAGAATCCGAACAGGAAGCGGATGAAGACGTCACAGAACCGAGGTCCGATGTCGACTTCCACCCTGAGACTCGAAGGCCGAACTCCGCACCTCTGCAACAACCTGCAGGTAAACCTCCAGGTAATTGGACTCCTTTTAATTTACCGAGGTCACAAATCTTCATGCAGATTAAGAATAAAATGGACTTACGACGTCCGGGTCCAATGAGAACTGCTGCTGCTACCAGAGACCATACAAGGTACTGTGATTTTCATCAAGATCACGGTCATACAACAGAACAATGCAATAGTCTGAGGTCCGAACTGGAAAGCCTGGCGCAGAAAGGAATGTTAAATGAGTACATTCAGAGAAATGAACAGCCACGGTTTGTCAGGGAACAAGGGACGCAGCGTGAAGGAGTCCGCAATCCTCCAAACAGGCAAGGTGTGGGATATCAGCAGGCCCCACCCCCACTCCCACCACCAGCTAGAATCATACACATGATTACGGGGGGTCTGGAAGCCGGTGGACTGAGTTCCAAGCAACGAAAGCTGTATGTCAGAGAGGTTAAGCACCAGAATCGAGCTCAGAAGCGAAAATTTGATGATGCTGAGTGGAAGAATCAACCCATCACTTTCACATCTGCTGATCTCGAGACAGTTGTCACACCACACAATGATCCACTAGTCACTTCTGTCACGATCAACAATTGTGAAGTACAGCGTGTCCTTGTTGACACCGGGAGTGCACCAGACATCATGTACTTCCATTGCTTTGAGAGTCTTGGATTAGATTCAGCTCTGTTGCAACGATATGATGGTCCCATTTA